GCGTGGGTGCGGGGTGTGCCGCAGGGAGTCCGGCGTGCGGGTGCCGGCGGGAGGGGGAGTGTGCCCGCGCAGCCCGGGGCGCGGGAGGGGGCGTGCGCCTCTCCCGGGGGGTGGCAATGTGGGCCCGACCCTGCCGGCCGGGAGTTTGTGTGTGCGCTCACGCCGACGGAGAAGTTGTGAGCGCGCGTGTGTGTTCCTGGCAGGTTGGAAGTGTGTGTGCCCTGTGTGTGCAGGAGACAGACGTTGGAAGGGTGTGTGTGCACTTAACGGAGAAGTTGTGAGTGTCGTGCACCCGGCACGTTGGGAGTGTGTGTATGTGTCTATCGGTTTATGTGTGTGTGTGTGTGCACTTGCATGTTGTGGGTGTGCACACACCAACTGAGAGACGGTAAAGGTGTGTGTGTGCACCTAACAGAGGTGGTGCGCTCTGGTGTTCCTGACAGGCTGTGAGTGCGGGTGTGTACGTTATGTAGAGGTTTCTGTGTACCTGACTAGGAGGTTGTGGAATGTATGTGCATGCCCAAAAGAGCCTGAGCCTGGGAGTTTTTATGTGTTCACTCCTGACAGAGTTTGTGTGTGCAGATGATTGTGTGCCTACAGCACCCAAGTGGCAGGTTGAATATGTTGTGTCCGTCAACTGGGAGGGTGTATGTCTGTGTGCACTCACACCTAAGAAGGCTGTGTGTGCTGTGCTTGACCATCAGCCGGTGTGTGCAGTGTGCGCACCCTACAATGAGGCTGCGTGCCGTGCGTTTAGCTGGTTGCACAAGTGAGGTAGGGGATCGGGGGGGGGGAGCATTGCTGAGCCGTCCTGCCCTCCTTGACTCTGCCGTCTCAGTGACACCAGCCTGCTGGGCGCATCTGCAAGGCCTGGTCCTCCCTGGGTCCTTTTAGGGCCCAGCTCTAATGGGCACTGGAGGAGCCCTTGGGGGCCAGGTGTATCCCTTCCCGGAGAGTCGGCACTGTGCTGCAGCACCTGGTCTGATTTCAGCACATTTTGGCCCCGTCACCCACTTCTGTTATCTTTTTTGCTCTTTTTCTTTGTGTCCCTGCCCCTCTTGGAGACCTGTTGCCCCCCTCTCTCATGTGCCCTGCTTACTGTCACTTTAGTGAGCTGGCCTGAGGCTTGGACAGTTTTGAAGGGCCAAGGAATCTGGCTTGTTTTGTTCTGGTGACTAAAGCTTCCTGTTATGCGCGGGGCAAATACCTGGACCCAGGTCAGGAGCAGCCCACCAGGACACGCCCCTCCCCTCTCCAGGCCTGGCCTTTGACTTTGACAGAGTCAGATTTCCTTCCATGTGTTATTACTCTTGTGCCAGTCGGGTGAGGTGTGCAGCCCTACGGAGCAGTGGCGTGGGGGTGGAAAGAACACCCCATTGCCTCTCCCCAAGCAGGAACGGCTGAGCAAGCCCACCAGGAAAATGCAAGAAACCACCAGAAGCACCCTGAGATTGGGGATTTGTCAACCCATTTGCACTTTCATAGACCATAAACACTGTGTGTCTGTGGACTTGTTTTCTTTTACGTAAAATTAGAAATCAGACTCCCCCAGGCATTTTCCTGTGCCTTACAAATGGGCTATAAAAAACTCTGCAAAAGGATGCTCCAGATGAATCTTCATGTCCCTCTGGGGCCCAAGTGGGCAGCACCTTGGTTGGTCTGGCCTTCCTGCCGCTGGGGCTGTTAGTTCTTGGGGCCCTGGCCTGCTGGCTCTGGGCTGGGTATGTCCCCTCAGGGACGTTTTGGTTGGAGGCATCAAGGAGATTTGATGCCTCTGCTTCTCTCCCGCTGTGGGTTGAGTGCTTTGTGTGATGCTTTGCCAGAGAGAATCCACAGCTCTTGAGAGGAGAGGGGTGGTGGAAAGCAAGGAAATATTTGTCAAGGCTTCAGCCTTCCTGCTGCTCCCCACCTGGTTCCAGGAGCAGGCACTTACCCAGCTTTCTCTTTTCCTCTAGCTGCTAGGCTTCTAAAGTGGAGTCAGTTATCCAAAATCCAAACCATGTACAAATACTCAAGGATGGTGCTTGTTCTATTCAACTCGTTTACATTGCTCTCCATGACAATCTTTTATTATCTTTAACTGTTTATTTTGTTTGTTTTCTAGTGTCAGGTTGGTTTTGGTAACTGATTAGAGGAATTCCTCACCTGCTGCTCTGGGATGGGGTGGCTAGCTAGTAGGTGCTTCTTGTTGAAGCATTAAAATCCTACTCAATTTAGTTTTTCACTTTAAAAGCTGGAAATAATTTTGGTTAACTATAGTGTGGCAATAAACTTTAGAACCAAGCTTTGGAATAGCTTCTTCAGATTCATAAACCACTAAACAGGTTTAGCAATGTTTCTTGCTTAAGCATGTTGATATATTTAGATAGGCACAATGTATTTTATTTTTATTTCTTTTTAATTGCCAATTTTAATTTTTAATAAAATATGGTATTTATAAGGTGCCTTCCATTTGGTATACACAGTAGATGAGATATAGCTTAAGATCTCAGGACTGTAATAAAAAAACCAATTTATTGGAGACAAAACAGGCACAATGTATTTTTATATCATTTGAGTTTTAGGTAAATCCTTAATCCTTTTGGTTTTTATTATGGGGCCTGGAATGTTGTAAGTTTTTGTGATAGGAAAGAAATGCTTGGTTTTAAAAGTTTACTGTTATCCTTTGTTCTTAAAATAGGAATAATAATGACTGCCTTTTGGGTTTGATTTGGGGGTTAAATGAGATGAGGTATGTTAAAGACTCTGCCTGGTTCACCAGTGTGTCACTATCCCATAAACCTTTCTTTAGATTTAGGTTTGCAGAGAAAGTAGTAAGCATGGGCTTGGGCGGGCGTGGGGGCAGTTTGCACGAGCTGAATTACTTTTTGACACTTTGCCTCGTGGTGGTGCACCACTCAGAGATGACTCTCCCTGTCAGAGGTGTGGCCTGTCACCGAAGATTATTTTTGTAATCATGTTTGACTTGACTGATAGTATAAAGATGCAGAGACAGTTTTCCCTGAGTTTAGCTCAGCCTGCTTTGCTATCTGGAAATTTATTCTTACAAATCAATATGAAAAAGTCAAACAATGCAGTAGAAAAGTGGTCAAGAGATATCAACAAGAAAAATCATAGAAGAGGAAATTTGAATGTCCAGTAAGTATATGAAATGACACTTCACTTCCTGTGAAATTTTTTCATGCATCAGCTAGGTTAAATATTTAAATGACTGACAACATTCAAAGTAAACAAAAGTTTTGGGAAAGGAATACTTTTGTAGTCTTTTGTGAGAGAATAGAATACAGACTTTTTAGAGAGTAATTTAGTACTGACTCATTTAGGAACACATTTGGCTGCAAGTAACAGAAAACCAGACCTAACCTGATAAGAGTTTATTCTTGTCACATAGCAAGCAGTCTGGAGGTAACTGCCGGCTGGCTTTGGTTCAGTAACTCATTAGTATCAGGGCTGACCTCACTGTGATTCCCTTGACTTTCCTACATGTTGTAACATGGCTGCCACCCCTCCAAACACCACAGCCACCTTCAGGGCAGGAAAAAGGGACAGTGCCAGTCATGTCCAGCCCTTTTTACTCAGAAAGCAGAAACACTCCTATGGATGGCCCAGCAAACTTTTGCTGATGTGTAATTGGCCAGAACTGGTCATGTAGTCAGTCGAGCCTTTGTTTTGGAGGTGGGAGAGGAGAAGATGATTGGCGATAGGTGGGAACAGGTGTTGGTTCAGCCAATCAACAATTTTGGCCACACCTGCAAAACCCCGGGCTCCTTCTGGATTTCTCTCCTAGATAAATAGCCTCATATGTGGTCCAAGAAACAGCACAAGGATTTTCACCAATGGCTACATTGCTTGCAATAGCAAAAATTGGAAACATCCTAAGTGTCAAAGGATTAGACTATGGTACATCAGTTCCATAGAATACTGCAAGGTACTTGAAAAGAATGAGTAAACATAGATCTACACATACCGACGTGCAAATTTCCAAGACATTTTGAAGCAGGGGGAAAAATCAATTTGAAGAACAGTATAAACATTGTGATCCTGTCTCTATTTAAAAAAAAAAAAATCAGACACACACATAAAACTGTACATATGTCTAGAAATGCACAAAAAGTAATCTGAAAAAAATCTGAAGGAAATAGTTCAAATAGACAATACTTCCCTGGGGAAAAGACTGGGATAGGAAGCGAGGGAACTTTGCCTTTTTGTTTAAATATTAATGAAAATGTACTTGTGCTTTACAGAAGATTTTTTTTTTTTTTTTTTTTTTTT